AGAGTAAGAGAGGAGGAGGGCGTGAGGACAGGCAGGAAGGAGGACCAGGAGGCGGAGAGCAGGAGAGAAGGGAGGGAAGGACAGAACGAGCAGACAGGCGGACATCCTTACCAGGGCTCCCTCCAGCCGATCCTGGTTGTGGCTGTTTTGCTCCTCAGCCTCCCTGGTGGTCTTGACTGCGAGGTTCAGGGCTTCACGTAGGTCCATGAGACCAGCCTCATACTGGGCCAACTGGTCCCGAATGTGTGTGGCCAGTGCCTGGCTCTCCTCCCAGCGGCTGGCCAGCCGTTCCCGCACACGGGCCAGCACTGGCCAACACCAGAGTAGGAAGGTGGTTTTTCTGACAGCTAGACCCCTTCATGACCCGATCCCTGCTTAGTGCCCATCCAGCCCCCACCTGCCCCTCTGAAGCAGGCCAGGTGCTGTTCCACACTGACTGTCCCTGGGGTAGCCAGGGCCTATTCCTGCCAGTTCCCAGTCTCGTCTTACAGGGTTTGGCCCCACTCACTCCTCTGAGCTTCTTCCAGCTCGGCCTCTGCCACTGCCCGTGGGGCCCCCAGGTCACGGGCTCGCAGCTCCCGGAGTAGCCGTTCCACTTCCACCAGCTCCCAGCGCAGCAGCTCACCAGACGGGGCTGAGGCATTGGCTGGAAACACTTGGCCCATCTGAGACACCAGCTCTGCAAGGGAGAAGATCATGAGGGCTTGGGGCTGGCCTCTGCCTACCGGCTTCCAAGCCTGAGACTATCCCAGAGCATTGCGGCAGGCCACCAGTACATATCCCAGCGGCCCCCTGCTGTCTCCTAATGCCCTCTTAAGACCCGTTTCTGCCCTGCTCTCCCATAGCCTTCCCCTCTTGCAGCCACATCCTGCCCCCCATTCGGCCCACTCCTCAGCCAGCTATTTTCAGCTTAGTAGCCAGTACTCTGCTGAAAATTCACTGTCTGACCCTTTAGCTGGGCGAGGTTCTGTCATTAGCTTGAGAGCCCCAATTTGGTCACAGGTCTGTGCCTAAAGAGGTCTGTGAGTGTTCACAGTGGGGCTGTGTGAGAGTCAGCCCAGCTCATGGGATCTACAGACTCTGGTCAACCAGCCACTTGCCCAGAGGGACCTAAACATGTAGGACCAGGTCAGCTCAGAAAGACACACACCCCAACCCTGACCCTACTCATGCCCCCAACCTGGCACTAGACAGCCCACCCTGCTCTGGACCCATGAATCAGCCTGTCTTACTGTTCAGGGCACGGTCCATAGCACGCACGGTCTCCAGCAGTGTTTGTGCCCGGCCCAGAGTGGCCTCCGTGTTGTCCAGCAGCCGGCTCACCTGGTCTCGGACCCCTATGGCCTGTAGGTACAGTCTTCTTCAGCTGTGGTCTTGGTGGGTGCACGCAGGTACGTATGCAGGGTTACAAGGGAACACCCGGGATGGGGTGGCCAGGGAACTGGGGAAATGCTTGAGGGGACCAGGAGAAGGTGGTTTTGGTTTCATGGAGTTCCTGGGGGCTTCCAAGTGTGAGGGCTTCCTGAGGGAAGGAGCACCCCAGGCCACTGGGGTGGGGTCCACAGGGTCCTGCCTGATTGCCTAGCTGCTCCGCATCCTGCTGGAGGCTTGCACTCTGTCGCTCCAGGGTCTGCAGCTGCTGTGTTGTCTGGTGGCGGGGGCCCGATGGGCTTCGGAGACGATTCTGTGGAGAGTGGGAAGTGAGTACCACATGGCCAGCTTGGGGGTAGGTAGAGAGGACAGAGAGGGCAGGCATGAGATACCTGCAGGTCGGCAATGGAGGCATTCAGCCTGTGCAGCCTGACCCAGGCTGCAGAGCTGGCATTGATGCCCATCAGCTGCTCACGGATGGAAGGGAGAAGAGCACCAGCTCGCTCAAGGTCATCCAAAAGCAAGACCACACAGTGGTCACACACTGCAGGAAAGGAGGAATGGGCACTGAGGGGACAGGCCAGTTGGGGGTCACAGGGTCAGACATAACAGGAAAGTATGACGAAGCCAGCAGCAGAGGCCAACACCAGGGTCATGGGTAGTAGGGAGTGGCCTGATCAGGTCAAGAGTTAATTAGGGAAATGGTGTCCGTATAGAATCAGGGGTCAACATGGAATCACGAGATCTGCCAGAGAGGCACATGGGGTTGGCACAAAAGACTAAACTGAGCTGAAAATGTCGAGGTACCAGGGGTCAGAGATCAGCAAGGGGGTTCCAGTTAGTTGCAGGCCCTCATGGGGTCAGGAGGGAATTGGGAGACCTGGATATGTCTACTGGGGAGAACCCAGGGGCCGCGTGGTCAGCTCAAAGGGGCAGCAAATGACGGGGGTCAGTATTTGAGATACTCCAACTTGAGAGTAGGAGGGTGGACAAGCAGCATGGAGTCGTGGGGGCCCTCGGGAAATGGAGACAGACAGCTGGGGTTCCTCTGAGGTGCTGAGCTTAATATGGGGAACACCAGGTCAGAATGGGCCTGGGAACCCCACGCCACCAGGTGGGGCTGAGAAGGTCGGGTAAGAAGGAAGATAAGGGTACGGTGAGGCGAACCTTCACAGTGTACGCCGTGGCCCCCAGGCCCGCCTGGCACGGGCACCTGGTGCTGCTGGCTGCAGGTGTCACAGCGCTCCCCACCTAGTCCTGGGGGACAGGTGCAGCGGCCCGTGTGTGGGTCACAGTGGCCTCGGGGGCACTGGCACCCTGTGGCAAGAGGGACAGATAAACATGGCTATAGGTACCACAGAAAGATGCCTGCTTCTCCACGCCGCCCACCCACACTCCTGCAGCCCTGCCTGTACTTACGCTGGCAGCCCTGCTCCGGGAGCCCCCAGTAGCCTGGGGCACACTCGCGGCACTGGGGTCCTGCTGTCCCTGGCTGGCAGTGACACTGTCCGCTCTGAGAATGGCACTTAGAACCTTCTGCAGCTGGTCCACAGGCACAAGGACGGCAGCCCTGGCACTGCTCGAAGCCAAAGTGCCCTTCCTGTGACAGACCCTGCAGTTACAGCCTGCCAGCCCCCAAGACCCCACTTCCTCCAGGCCTGGAAACTCAGGCTACCTTAGGCTCCTCAGATCCAGCCAACCCACCCTCAAGCCTATCCCCACAAAGGCCAAAACTCTCCCCCCAGGACACCTCCTCCACAGGCCTGGTCCCTCCCTCCAGCCTGCCCCATCCTCAGCCCTACCAAACAGTGGTCACAGCGTCTCCCAGTCACACCCGCCTTGCACAGGCAGCGCCCACTCTGGGGATCACAGGTCTCTGTCCCGCAAGGGGAACAGTCGCACCCTGCAGGAATTGGGGGATATGACAACTGCTCCAGGGGGTACCCCTACACTCCCAGTCCTCCCCAAAACACAGCCCACCAGTTCCTGCTGCTTTTCCCATTGTCTGGTCCAGGCCTCTCACACCCCATGGTCACCACCTCCCTAGTCCAGCCTGGCCCTCCTTCCTGTAGCCTTGCCCTAGTATGCCCTGAAGGGGACAAGGGCAAGACAGGGTCTGACCATGGGGCTGGCCACGAGGGAAGACCTGACTGTGAAGAAAAGGAGCTCAGTCACACCGGCACTTAACCTGTTCCCAGGGTGGACCCAGCATCCCATCCAGTGCTTACGGGTGCAGTTGCCGGGCAACAAGGCATTGCCATAGAAGCCAGCAGCGCAGCTCTCACAGTGGGGCCCAGTGGTGTGGCGAAGGCAGCCTCGGCAGGCACCAGTCAGAGGGTCACAGTCACTGAAGATCATGTTGGGGTCTCCATTGCCACTGCAGTCACAGGGCTGGCAGGAGCTGCCCAGCACCAGGGGGTTCCCAAAGTAGCCGGGTGCACACCTGAGGACGGGTGGTAAGGAGAGAAGGGGGTGGTAAGGGCCCTACTCAAGGTACCCTGCGGTCTACACTCGGGCTCACCCCACCAACTCACCGTTCACAGGAGGCCCCGGCATAGCCTGGTCTACAGAGGCATTGGGTTTGGCCATTTCGTAAGATGCAGCCTTCTGCGAAACTGTAAGGATGAGACAGTCACTACATACCTGCACCTCTCCATCCTATGTAGAGGGGCTCCAGGAAGGGGGATACAGAGGGGACCAGGTACGGCTTACTTGTTGGAAGGCACTGCCAGGGGGCAGGGACAGCTCACACAGGGAGCCGTAGGGTCGTCAGGCCTACTGCTCACAAAGCCAGCCTGGCAGTGCTCGCAGTGGTCCCCTTCTGTGTTGTGTTGGCAGCCCTGGGGTTCAGTGGAAGGTTAGTGCTCAAAGCAGGCACGTTGCACTCTACCCCAAGCCAGCTGGTACCCTGGGTCAGGGGCCTGAGTTTTTCTGGAACCACAGGCCCAAAGACCCTAGGGTCTTCCCTGGCCACCCGACCTTGGCAGATTCTACTTACCACACAGACTCCAGAGCTAGGAAGGCAGCGGTCTGAATGGCCATGGCACTGACAGAGCACACATCGGCCCAGGAAGAGACCTTTGATGTCCCGGTAATAGCCAGGGGCACATTCCTGGGGGAAGGCAAGCAGGGCAGACAAGAAAGGCAGCACACAGGTCAGCTCCTGGGGACCTGCTTACACAGTGGGGCCAGGGGCTGTAGGGATATCATGCTCCTGGAACACAAGCCTCCAAGGTTGGAAGCCAGCACTGCTGGGCCTGTCTAGCTGGAGACAGACCCTGAGTGTGGTTGTGGCCCAGCCTCAGGACTGACCAGGCTGTGGGACTGGTGTCCAGTCACAAAACTTACCCCAAGAATCATATTAGACAATACAGAACTATGGGCAGATGGATGCAGGTGAGGGAGGGGGTGACGGCTAACTGGGCATCAGGATGTGTGGAGGGTGATGGTTGTGTGAGGGACAGGGTGGACAGGAATAGAGCAGCTGTGCATGTGGAGGGAGGGCACTGGTGAACGGATGGCAAAGACAGAGGTGGCAATGGAGCAGCCGATTGTGACTAAGTAGACTGGCAGGTTAGCAGGGAGGAAGACACATGGGCAACAGAGGTGGGGCAGATAGAGAGCATACCTCACCTAGCATGCGCAGGGAAAGGACCTATGGTGGGGTCACCTTTGTGGCTAAACCCCACCGTCACCACCTTACCTGGCATGAGTCCCCACGGTAGTTGGCAGGGCACATGCATAACTCCACATTGCTGGCTGGAAGCCCCCTGCCAGCTTCACTAGCCACCTCAAGGATCACCCTACGCAGGGAGACAGCTGAGGAGATCTGTGAGAAGAGGGCGCGGATTTGCAGCTGCTCCAGGCTGGCCAGCACCATCATAAGTTCCTCACGGGACACCGCATTGTGAGTCTCCACGTGCCGGAAGTTCCCCTGTGGGATCAAGACGGGACCTCAGTGGAGGCAGCAGAGTGCAGAACACTCACGTAGGAGACAGAGGTCACACAGGTCAAAGCAGACAGTTCCAGCAGTCAGCTGGGGGAAAGCCAGCAGCTGGTCCCCTACCTCACGCCACACACCAAACTCAACTCCAGGCATATTAAAAACTTAAACATGCAAAGAAAATAGTTTAGGCTTTTAGGAAAAAAATAGATGACCTCGGAGAGACAAATACTTTCATAACAAGACACAAAATGGAACAAACATGAGAACGTGATAAACTTGAGTGCGTTAAGAAAGAACCTGCTCATTAAAAGACAATTTAGATGTCAGGAAACGGGTGGGGGTTGGCCTTAGTCTGGCAACTATTAGAGACTGATTACTACTGGGTGAAGGACAGTATGCCTTACCAACAATCCCTAGACAGGCTGACTAGACTCCAGTGGATGAACTTGCACTGAAGGGTCCTTGAGTATAAATGCTTGACTGGATAGGACTTAACATGTGTGGCAGAAACATAAGGTCCAGTAGGGGGTTGGAGGGACATGGATGGAAGAGGGAGTCTAAATTTGATTAAGAACTATGTATGAAATGTACGAAAGTCCGAAAAAAAAACAATTTAAAAAAGAACAAGCCACAGGGCTGGCAAGACGGCTCAGTGGATAAAGGCATCCTCCTTCAAGCTCAGTGACCTGAGTTCAATCCCTACGACCCATGTGGTCACATGGTAAAAGAAGGAAACCAACTCCTGCAAACTGTCCTCTCTAACCTCTACATGCATACAGTGGTACGTATGTGATCACACATACATAAACACAGTCAATAAATTAAATGAAACAAGCTTTAAAAAAAAGAACAAGATAAAACTTCTAAGAAGACAGACAGCTGTTGATGTAGCCAGAGTGAAGCCTGGGGCTGGAGAGATGGCGTAGCAGTTAAGTACACTGCTGCTCTTGCAGAGGAACCAGGTTCTGTTCCCATACCCACACGGCAGCTCACAAGTGCCTGTAACTCCAGTTCCATGGGCTGTCCCCTCTGACTTCCGCTGGTTCTGCTACATACTTGGTATGTAAAAACTCATACAGGCACACACACATAAATAAAAATAAACTTTTTTTAAAAAGAGGATTTGTCCCAGGAATTCTCATTAAAAAGAGAAAAGTTCTCAAATAGATAAGATTAACGTGTCAAAGAGGCACAGAGAGCCAAGCTGGAGAGGCTGCTCCCAGAGCAGGGAGGAACTCATTAAGTAGACTAGGCTGACCTCAATCTCAGAGATCCACCTGTCTCTGCTGGGGTTTAAAGGTGTGTGTCAACAAGCCTAGCTCTGTTTACCCCCTGTAATCAAGGATTTAAAAACCAGTGATGACCCACTCATAAGTGACCAGAAACGAGGCCCACTGACCACTGTCCCCTCCTGCCACTAGGCTGTTTTCCATTGTGAAAAGCACAGATGCTCCGGCCCCTTTGGGCCCTTCCTGGGCTGGGCTGGACTCCAGGCCAGCTCTTCTCACCTCCACCAGTTGCAGCTGCCCCCGATGAATGTGGCCAGGCAGAGGATATGATGGTTCCAGGAAGGCAATGCTCATCTGATTGCCCTGAGAGACAGACACATGGGTCAGGAAAGGGCTGGCAAGTGGGCTAAGCCACAGTCCTAGGCAACTACACCCACCCTGTTCAACTACCTGCAGCACTACATCAGGCCTGCTCTCAGTAGGAATGAAGATGTCCCCACGCTGAGTCTCTGAGTGTAGCTCATAGCGGAGGGTCCCACCATAGGATGACACCTGGAACCGACATAGTGAGAGCGGTCTCCCTCCTTCCCTCCCTGGAGCTGGGCCCACACCCACTCCTTACCCCGCCAGGGTACCTGTCAAGCTCCCTCTACAATGCGCCTCCAGGGTCCCTGGATGTAACGTCATTGCCATTCACCCTCCCTGGCTCCTCAGGGAAAATGGCTGCCCTTGGAGCGCAGGCTCCCAAACCCAATTCTTCTGCTCACCCTGTCCCCCAGGTAGGAGGATGGGGCCTGCCAGTACAGCTCTGAGAAAGTGTCGGCCACATGGCGCAGGTCTGCGTGGAGCAGCTCCATCTCGGCCCGTCGCTCATGGGGTATCACCTGCCGGTCAGTGCTCAGCAACACCCAGCCTTCCATATCCATGAACTGCGGGCACATGTGTGGGTCACACAGGGCGCATGCCTGGCCTTGCCCTGCATCCCGGTCCCCTCTGGTGGCTCCTGCCGCAGTCCTAGGCCAGGGAAAGATACCTCATGGCGGGCATGGGTTGAGCTCCCGCAGCGCTCCGTAGCCCCAAAGCAGAAGCAGCGGGTGCAGCCCTTGGGGTTGGCGGCTTCAAGGGAGAAGGTCCCCAGGCGACACTGGTCGCATCTTAAGCCCTGCACGTTCTCCTAAGGGAAGGCAACAAAAGTCAGATGGCTGTGCTAGAGCCCAGACCATGGCTCAGTGTTACCCCTTGCCCTCCAAAATCCTCCAGAAGTTCCAAATGCCTTGGAAGGCCATATGGAACAATTATCTCAACTGAAGGAAGGGGACCTGGGAAGAGACCTAGGAATGGGCTCCTGCTTACCTTGCAATGGCATTGGCCTGTGAGGGGGTCACACACACTAGGCATGGTGCCGGCCTCATGGCAGTCACAGGGGCGGCAGCTGGGATAACCATAGAAGCCTGGGGCACAGGTATCACAGCGGCGTCCAGCCACGTTGGGTCTGCACCTGACAACATATAAAGACCAGCTGAGTCCCTCCAGCCCTGGGTTGTTAATAGCCCAGGGATCCCCAGTCCCCAAAGCATCTTCTGAGAACCACAAGGGTGGGTTGTGGCGGTGAGGGGCGACGCTGTCCCGACCCACGAGCTCCCAAGGCTACAGGGATGCCATGAAGACTCTCACTTGCACTGGCCACTGTCCACATCACAGGTAGGGTCTGTCAACTCCTGGACGCCGGGCCCTGAGCAGTTACACTCCTCACAGCCGACAAGGGGGTGGCAGCCAAAGGTCTGTGGCTGGCAGACTAGGCAGTCCGGGGTGACAGTGCGTGGTGGGCAGATGCAATGGCCCGTGAGCTCGTCACACAGGCGGGCACCGCAGTCACAGGCTGTGAAGGTAGATGTCACTGTCCCTTCTGCCCCACTCAAGCCCCCAGCCCTTAAGGATGTGTTGGGAAAAGGCCAGAGACCCCATTCCCGTTCCGTCCCTCCTATAGGCTCTTGACATGAACAAATTGATGTGCCATTGTCAGGGGCTGCCAGACCATCTCAGAACCTTCTAGAGAAGCCCATAAAGCAGATGAACTATATCCAGGCCACTAGCTGCCTGAAACTCACGTACAGAAAGTGGCAGAGCTAGTCCGCTAGGCTCTAGAATGCTCCCAAGCAACATACCCCTGGTTCCCAGTGTACCCCAGCCCCCAGGGAGTCCTTGGATCCCAAGGCTCCCTGGCTCTTATGCTCCCAGCACTGGGTACTCACGTCTGCAGTTGGGGAAGCCCCAGTAGCCGGTCGCACAGCGGGAACAGTCTCGACCAATGACATGGGCCCGGCAGGGACACTGGCCCCCAAAGGGCTCACACGTGGAGCCTGTGGCACCCACCTCGTGGCAGCCACAAGGCAGGGCCCCATTATTGTAGAAGAGAGAGAGGGAAGTGGCGGCTTTCTGGCAGAATGGGGATGAGCTGCTGGCACTACACAGAGAAGTGGGAGGTAGGATTGGCTCCTGGTCTGCATCCCTGCCCCAGACCCATCCTGCCCCAACCTGGCCCACCTGATGTGGTAGCCATGGGAGGCACAGTGGCTGATGAAGTCATAGGACTTGTCCAGGGGTTCCTCTCGAAGGTAGCTGGGATTGTACACATCCTCAGGGATAATAAGAACGTAATCCTAGGGGACAAGGACCAGGTTACAGGAATATGGCCAGCACCGTTATGTAGGCGGGAATGGAGAGTGGGGCAGCCCCCACCCCCCAAACTAGCTAAGGCCAGGGTATGGAAGTCCTAGTCACATATCCAGGCCACTTGGGAACGAGGTGAATATGTCACAGCTTGGGGACAGTGAAGAGGCAGTGGGGCTGGCCAAGCCTCCAGGACTGCTTATGGCCTCCTCCCTGCTCGCCCATCATCCAGGCCCCACTTCCTCTGTGAAGGCCCCTCGGAAAGTTAGGCCCAGTGGCTCAGCTCTCAGGACGCCTCTGGAGCCTCACATGGTAGTACCGTGGGTCCTCAGAGGCAGAGGCTACTCAACTTGGCACCCGGCATGAGAGAGGTCCCAGGGGCCAGGGGTACACTCTGTCACACCCAGTGGTATGACAGGCATAAAGGAAGACTAGTCTTCAAGTGGGACACCAGCCCCACGCCTCACCAGCCAGAGCCACCGGCCTTCGGGTACACGCACGGTCACGGTGAGCTCATTGTCTGTCACATCCAGCACAGTCTGGCCTTCACACAATACCAGAGTGCGGCAGCCATAACCATGTGGGCAGAAGCTGGCATTGGCGTGGCCTGGCAGGGGAAGAAAAGAGGTCAGGCCCCCAACACGGACCACTCTGGTTACACAGCCGCCCTATCCCCCTACACGGACCACTCTGGTTACACAGCCGCCCTATCCTAGTGTAGAGCACAGTTGGAGATATGAGGGACAGGGGACACAGACAGGGCAGGCCTGGTGCCAAGAAGTAGACACGATGATGTCATAGGCAGAGAGCCTGCATGCAGCCCTTGAGACCAGGCCTCCCTCTTTAGGAATTAGCCACCACCACATATGACCACCCCTATGAGCACGTGGCCAAGTCGGCCAAGTGTCTTGTAACAATCATTTGCTTCGCCATGTGTGACAGAGAATCAAACCAAGAGAATGTAATGCAAGGAACAGGTGTTGAGACAGGACTTCTGGGAATGGGACAGATGGGGGGGCTGCCACTCTCAGTGGCCCTGGAGTAGCATTTGAGAACTGGCGGCAGCCAGCTGTGCTCTCCAATACTGTGGTGCACATGGCTACTCACCCTGCCAGATGCGGCCCCCGTTGATAAGTACCTCCACAGGGAAGGTAGGGTGGGCTGGCTGGTAGCCATGTAGCAGGAAGGCGTAGCGGCCCAGGGTAGGCACATGGGTGGTGAAGACCACAGTGCCCTGAGGGAAGAGTTTCCAGTGAGTGGAGACATGGGTGAACAGCCAGCCCCATGGCTGCCTGAAGCACCTGCCACGTGGTGGTGGAGCCCAGGAGCCCAGAGTCCTGTCCACCCCTTGCCCAGTGGATGCCACAGTCCAGCTCAAAACCCTCACCTGTGGATGGCGCAGTAAGGTGGGCTCTGAGTCAGGGTCCACGGCAGTTGGGGGCCGAGGCTGTGGTCCGGCTGGAGGTGCACCTGGTGTGAGTGCTTGTGACTGGGTCAGAGGAAGGTCAGGAGACAGTGGCAGGACCTGGCAATCCCTGAGGACGATGGGCTGAGGTGGCTTCAGGAAGCGGGAAGGCAGACAGGCAGCCCTGGGGAGCGCTAGGAGTGAGGGTGTGATCCAGGTTAGTGGATCCCCAGCCACCCTAGCTACTCCTGGCGCCACTACCTGCTGGGATTGAAGGTGCCATGACTGCTCACACAGTGGACCCGGGGCTCCACGAACTCCATGCTGAACTCCTCCGTGGGTACCAGGGTGACACTATGCTGTGGACAGAAGGATAAAATGTTTTTGTGCCCTGGGCAGCCATGGACAGGAGGTAGAGTGGACAAGGATAGCTAGTCACATAATCTGGACCCCAGGAGCCCATGGAGCCCGTGCTCCCAACCATTCTTGTTTTCTGTCTGGACCACAACCTTGGATGCAGAACCAAGGACAGTTCCTGAGGTTTGGGGGCCCCACCCTGCCCCTCACAGCACCTCCCATCTGTCTTCTCTGTTTCCAGTCACACAGTTCCATCTTGGGTTCCCTCAGCTCTATATATGTTTAAAACACATCAGAGGGCTGGAGAGATGGCTCACTGTTCTTACAGAGGACCCGGGTTCGAATCCCAGCACCCACATGGCAACTAACAACTATCCGTAACTACAATTCCAGGGGAATTCGAGGCCCTCTTTTGATCTCTGTGGATATTGCATGACACACGGGTGCACTTATATACATGCCAGAAATACACTCATTCACATAAGACAGTAAATAAAATACTTTATGCTGGGTGTGGTGGCGCACGCCTTTAGTCCCAGCCCTCGAGAGGTAGGGGCAGGCAGATTTCTGTGAGCTCAAGGCCAGCCTGGTCTACATAGTGAGTTCTAGGCCAGCTGGGGCTACAGGGAGGCCCTGTCTCAAAAATACCAAAAAAAAAAAAATAATAATAATAATAATTTAAAACACACTAGAGGAAGATGCCCCAGGGGCAAGGGCTGAAAGGGCCTCACCAGGAAGAAGTGCGCTTGCTCGGCTATGAGCCGGACACTGGCCTCGGAGTCCAGGTAGAAGCTGGCCAGGTGGTGCTGGGCGTCTCGAGCCGGGCCCCGGCACAGGGAGCTGTGGGAAGGGATGGTCAGTGAGTGGCAGCCTTGCGTGGGGCCTCCCACCAACCCATCCTTGTTGCACACTTACCTGTATGGGCAGGGGTAGAGGGTAAGCAACCCCTGCTGGGAGGCTCTCTGGGGGGTGTGCACTGCCACACCCACCTCCTGGTGGGCATCCTCACTGGCATATTCCACCACCAGAGCATAGCGGCCGGGCCGAGGCACTGTCATCTCAAGCTGAATGTCCACCTTGGGGAGGAGAGGGTGATCAGAGGCCTATGGCCCCTTATCCTTTCCATATCTGCCCACCACTATCTGCTGGGCATAACCAATTATTGGTGCCCAAGGCATCTCTAGACAAGAGGAGAAGGCCAATCCACATCATAGTAGGAGCAGGAAAGCTACGTCATCTCCTGTTTATACCCAATGCCCATCAGATACAGCAGCAGCAACTCTGGGCCAAGCATGCCAGCTCAACCATGCCACCCACAGCCTTGTCTTGTACCTACACACTCTGCCACTGAGGTAGGACCCCTCCCCCAGACCGAGGCCCATAGCACCCACCCCTCCACGGGCCCTCAGATACCCACATCGCTGCCCAGGCAGGCAGCCAGAGGCGGATGTGAAGGGCTGAGCTGCTCTGTGGGGCATGGCCGTGGCAGGCTGTTGTCATGGCTACACAGGGCCTCAGACCCAGCTGCTGAGGGGAAGCCATCCAGGGGGAGGTAGGTATGGAGGAGGCAGCTGGGGAACAGAGATTAAGGTCAGCACAGGTCCACTTAGGAAGCAGCCCCACCCCATCCTGTGGGGCCTTACTTCTCGGTGGAGTGCAGGGCTGAGGGCCGGTAGGTGCAGGCCTCGGTTACTCGGTGCTGTAGGAGAGCTGCCTCATAGTAGGCACTGGGCAGCAGAACGACATAGTCCTGGGGGAAGACAGAAGGAGGACTGAGGCTCTGAGGCCCAGGACCTGCCCCAACCCCACTGTGACCCTTGCCTCACCAGGAGTACGCCTTCAGCCTCCACAAGCAGGGCCCAGATGCCAGGGTTCAGCACGAAGGGCTCCCCAAAGCCCCTCTGGGGTACAGTGACGAAGGCAGGTTCTGTAGTTGGTGGGAAGGCCACTGGCTGGCTTTGCTCTGTGCCTGGGGGGTAAGATGCCTGGACTGAGTCCTCAGGGCCCTGCAGGCTGTACTACCCTCATGCACTGGGATGGTGGGCCAGGACGAGGATGATACAGTAGGGCCTATCACCCTCACATGACTTGGGAGGTGGAGTGTGGGGTGGAGACATGGGCAGGGCACGCCCCCCCAACTCACAATTGGTACAGCTAGCAAGCTTGCCCTCCTCACGCACAGAGACTCGCCCATTCACACTTGTGGATCCACGGTTGACGTATCGGAAGACCAGCCGAAAGAGGTCAGGGGAGGTCACGTTCAGCCTGGCCACGATCCTGGGCTGTGGTGGGTATGAGACAACAGGGTCACCTCTCCGACCACTGCTGACCTGTGTCTCATAACCCCTAGGTGCTGCTTACATCTTGGCAGCCCCAGGAGACACAGTTGGCTCCCCTTCTGCCCAGAGCACTGGAAGGGGACAGCACGGCCCACCTGGATGGGTGCCATGTGTGCATAGCCTCTCCAGCTGAAGTTCTCAAACTCCAGGTGGTTGAAGCCAAAGCGTACGGCGTGGCCCTCAGGTGTGACCGCCTCCTCCAGCTCCAGTCGTAGGTGGTGCAGGTCGGGCAAGTAGTGGTCTCTCACCGGCCTGTAATGGCACAGGTGTCTTGGTGGGACAGGCACTGGCCTTACTTGGCCATCCAAATTCCCAGGGTCCCCTGTGGGTTCATGATGAGAGACATACGGGGCCACGTACATGCTGCCTCCCCAACCCCGGCCCAGCCAGCAGGAGGCACCTACTCGCTACAGGTAGGGCCCTGGGTGTTAGGGCGGCACCGGCAGGCACCCGTCCTCGGTTCACAGCCCTGACCTAGTGCACCACCAATATCACACCGGCAGCCTGCGTCGATAAAGAACAAGGTCAGTTCAGGCCTTATAGGCAGGCCTCTGGTCTCCACCCACCCTCAAGTGAGTGGCTGAGAAGTCAACTTAACCCTTAGTATCTCCCTAGGGCTCAGGGGCAAGGGAACTGGGATTAGTGATGTCTGTCATGAACAAAGGGAGCAAATGCCATGTGTCAGAGCAGAAACAGTGTCTTTCCTTTCTACCCTAAGCACAGTGCTAGCTGAGGCCAGTCCAACATCTGGGCCTCACTGTGCTGAGGCTCTGGTGGACCATTCCAGACATTGCTAGAGTGGGATCCTTACCTATCTGACCCCCTTGTCCCTCCCTGGGCCTCAGTTTCCCAGTGCGCAAAGTACATCATGGATGGGGGGACTGAGGACCAGTGGGTGAGCACTCACTGCGGCAGCCAAAGTAGTCAGCCTGATCCAGGCCAAAGAAGCCATCCTTGCAGGCTGAGCAGGTCTGGCTACACACATGGGCCTTGCAGAAGCACTGGCCATTGCCCTGGTGGGAGAGGAAGTGGGACTTGGTGGGGTAGAGTTCCAACCCACTTGGCCAACAGGCCCCAAATCCTTGACATTTAGACTCACTCACCAACTGGCACTCGGCAAGTCCACCCAGGGTGCCTCTCGGGTCACAGCTGCAGCCTGGGGATGGCAGAGCAGGACTGAGAGTCACGGGAGACAGTAGAGCTTGGGCTGTACCCCTCACCCCCTGAACCTTCCCTTTGGGGCAGACTCACGGGTGCAGCCCTTGGGGTTGCTGGGGCTCAGCCCCCAGTACCCAGGTTTGCAGTGATCACAGCTTGGCCCTTCCACGTGAAGCCGGCATGTACAGGGAGCCTGTGCCTAAGAGAGGGTAAGACCATGGGTCACAATGGGTCCTTGCCTTCCTCCCCATAACCCTCAGCTCTGGAGTCCTATCAAGAGAGAGGAAGGGGCTAAGGCCCCTCAGGCACTGCTGGCCCTTGTCCGGCAGTCACCCTAAGTAGGGACAAAGGACCAGCAGGAGTAAACAGGTCCTCCCTGAGGTTGCCATAGTAACTGAGCAGCAGACAGGAAGTTAGGTCTCTCTGGGCTCGGGACTTTTAGCTTGACCTATCCCCACTCCTCCATCCCCACACCGCGGGCAGTCCTATGCTCACCTCAGGAAGGGCAGGATTGGCTGGGGCCAGGCCAGCAGGATGACAAGAACCAGCTGAGGAGAGATAACTAAGCCTCAACCACTCACTTCTCTGACTGACCCCATGGCCAAGGGCCTCCCAGCCCCACAGAGAACCCAAGTCCCCATGGGTGCATGCACACTTCCCGTGGCTGTGGACAGGTATGAAAGTGAGCACCTACCCGCTCCAGCTCCCACGGTGAGGGCACACACGCTCCTCCACCATAGCATGTGCTGATGAACACACATGAAGGTGCCCACAGCACCATAGCATGTGGATACAAGCATGAACTCACATGAACTCGCCCACATGTGAATGCACTCACATGAACATGCACATAGAGCAACCACATGAACAGCTGCATATACGTTTACAAAGCTTAGGAAGACACATAGCACACAGACACACTGCCAATGAACACAGCATACAAACAAACTTACACACACACACAGCACACGGACCCAGCAGCAGAGCACACACAGTCCCTACACACACATACAGACATCTCTGTAAACAGCACACAGAGCACAGAAATAAGACCGCCTTTTGCAACCCCACCCCTGGCTCACCTTCGCAGTAGGGGAAGTTGTAGGCACCTGGCATACACATGTCACAACGCAGCCCTGTCACACGGGGCCGGCAGCTACACTGCCCAGTCTGGGGGTCACAGGTTACGTGCAGGGAACCATCGGCGGAGCAGTGGCAGGCTGTGGGATGTAGTCAGGGTGTGGGCGCAAGGCGGGGCTGTGTGCTGGGCACCCCCCATTCTCTCAAGACACTCACGGATACAGTTGGGGAAGCCGTGGAATCCAGGGCTACACTCCTGGCAAGCGGTGCCTGTGTAGCCGGGGCGGCAGCGGCACGAACCACCCATTCCACAGTGCTGGTCCAGGGCCCCTCGAGGGTCACAGGCACAGGCTGTGGGCACATGGGAGGTCAGGCACTATTCCTGTGGGACAGCCCAACCCCTTCCTGTCCTAACTTTCTGCTTACCGTGACAGTTGGGGTAACCGTGGTAGCCTGCGAGGCAGTGATCACAGTGAAGGCCATCAAACCCAGGTTGGCACCGGCAGCGGCCGGTCTCATCACAGCCTTCCGGCAGAGTTCCTGAAGGACTGCAGCCACACACTGCAGTCGGGTGTTATGGTGAACCAGGGGTAGACTGTGCCTCAGGGGCCCCAGCCACCCATGCCCATGCCCATGTGGAGGGACACCACTCACGCTGGCAGAGAGGGAAGCGGAAATAGCCAGGGGCACAACGATCACATGCAGCCCCCTCAAAGCCCGTGCGGCATGTGCACTGGCCTGAGTCTGGGTCACAGAGGCCATCAGCCACCCCAGGGCTGGAGCACTGGCATGCTGCAAGGGGAAGGCCAAATGTTCAGTGAGTGCTTGGCTAGCGTAGGGAAGTTCATGGGTGGGGTGACTGGGAGGGGGTCACACTCACGTTGGCAGCCAGGGCCATAGAACCCAGGTGCACAGAGCTCACAGTGGGTACCCTGGAAGTTGGGTTTGCACACACAGCGTCCAATCCGAGGGTCCTTCCGGCAGGCATTGCCCTGTGTCCCCGCGGCACTGCAATCACAATCTATGAGGAAGGTGGGAGGAAAGAGGTTTTGATGAGAGAGCACCCAGCCCATCTGGAAAACCAGCCAGAGTCACATTCTTATACATTTTACATGGTACAAATTAGAATCTAAGCAATGTAGGAATCCCCAAAGGGGCACTTTAGAAAACAGTGTTGTGCAGCAAAAAAACCCACAACTATTTCTGTGTCACACAGGCATTGGTAACAGGTTCCCAGTTAGCTACAAGCCCAAATGAAGGGAGAACAAAGGCCCAAACGATGGTCTAAGAAAAAAAGCCCGTCAGGTGCCCCGAGTCACGTGGGAAAGGAACGTTGTCAACACCCTCTGATGTTCGTTACGGACAGGAATGATGGCTCGGGATTTGTCAGAAATTCCGAGGGGCTGACGCAAAGCCACCCCAAGCCCAAACAAAGCATGCTTTGCTGCTTGAGCCAGCCAAGGTTAAGAAAGGAAGAGTTAAGTGGGAAAGGCACTAGAAACAGGTGTAGCCTAGACAGTGCAGCAGGGACGGCTGGCGAGTTCCTTCTCCTAATGCTTATTATTTTTATTTTATGTGGATGAGTGCATTGCCTGCATCATATAAGTGCACCCGTGTCATGTGATGCCCATGGAGGTCGGAAGAGGGCAATGGGTTCCCCTGGAACTGGAGTTACAGATAGTTGTCGGCTGCCATGTGGGTGCTGGAAATCGAACCCGGGTCCTCTGCAAGAGCCATCTGAGCATCCCTCTAGCACCTCCTTCTCCAATATAAGCATCAAAGGTGTCCCTAGACTGACTGCGAGGAAACTCCAATCGGGGAATGCTTCTAGAGCCAGGGACTCAGATGGGAATGTGAGCTCAGTGAGAAGGTGTCAGGCAGTGCAGAGGAATCTGTGGGTCAGCAATGTGAGCCCAGGTAGAACGCGAGGCCATGGTGCTGGCAGGGTTGAGGAAGGACGCTGCAGTTAAGAACCCATGGACACCAGGCAGGACTCAGAGCTCACAGGAATGCGCAGGAGCAGGATAAACTTGGCTCTACTGTCCAAACTGAAGAGAATGGCAAAGGCATCATCCTAGAAAGTCTGAATTCTCTGTTAGAATGTGTCGGCTTATGTCTTGCATTCATGAGGCACTGAGTTCAATCCTCAGAACCCAAGTAAAAGAGAAGCAGGCACCATAGTACATGCGGAACTCCCCGAGCCAGGGAATCCTAGGGGACTCGCCGACCAGTCAGCCCTACCTAATAGGTGAGTCCCAAGCCAGTGAAGAACTGTCTTAAAAAAAGAAAAAAAAAGGGTCTGAGGAATGACATTTGAGATTGTCCTCTGACCTCTACATGCATGCACATGTGTGCACATGCACACACATGTGCACACAAAATGTGTCAGCTCAGAGAGCATTAACCAAAGACCAAATGGACTTAAATAGCATAATTTAAAAGGCTGTTTTGAGGACTGGAGAGATGGCTCAGTGGTTAAGAACAATGACTGCTCTTGCAGAAGACCTGGGTTCAAATCCCAGCACCCACATGGCAGCTAACAGCCGTCCTTAACTCTAGTTCCGGGGGATCCAACAGCTTCTTCTGACATCCGTGGGCAGTGCACGACACAGGTGCACTTACCTACATGAAGGCAATACATGCATACACATAAAATAAAATAATAAATTTTTTTTAAAAAGGCTGTTTTGATACACAGAAAGCAATGCCCAACAAAACAGTATTCCTATCAGAAGCCCAAAGCGTGACCTAAAGGGGACACATTCAGAAAAAAGATTTCAAATGTAAAAGACAAAGACAGAACCAGTCAGTGCTCCTACTCAGGTGTAGTGAAGGAGAACCGCATAAACACAACAAAGGACAACAACGCCAAGAGCACTCCGGAGGAAGAGGAATCCCCATCAAAATGAAAAATAAAATGAACAGAAATTACAGGCTGTCTAGAAAGGAACAATAATGAGTGCGCGCCGACCTCCAGATTCATGAACCAAAGCTGAACTTTGAGGAATATTCACAGCCTGAAGCCAGAGTTCCTTGGCCTCTACCCTCTAGAGGACAGCTGCCAATCAGAGCTCCCAAGCAGTCTCCAAAGACCAGCAACTATCTATTGCTGAGCCACCACCCTTGACTGAGACATAAAATTGCTTTAGGCCTTTGGAATTTCCGTTGTTGTTGTTTTGGTTTTTTGAGTTGAGGTCCTGCTGCATGGCCCATGCTGACCCCAAACTCCTGGGCTCAAGCAATCCTCCAGTCTCAGACTCCTAAGTAGCTGGGTCAAAAGGCAAGCTACTAGGCCTGGCTCTAACATTTAACAAGTAGATAATCCATCTGGAGGTGGCTCAGTCAGTAAAGGTGCTGCTGCTGAAACTGAGGACCTGAGTTTGAGCCCCTGGACCCACGTGGTGAAAGAAAAGAACAATTCCCACAAGCTGTCCTCTGACCACACATGTACCATGGTGTGTGCACTCTCTCACATACATGCACACAAAATAAATAAACAAACATGCAATAAAAATTAAAAGAGCTGGGCATGGTGGTGCACGCCTTTCATCCCAGCACTTGGGAGGCAGAGGCAGGCGGATCTCTGTGAGTTCAAGGCCAGCCTGGTCTACATAGTAAGTTCCAGGACAGCTGGGGCTACAGGGAGACCCTGTCTCAAAAAGACAAAAAAATAAAAAAACAAAAAACAAAACAAAACAAAAATTAAAAAGAAAGATAAGCCTATGCGCACCCCCCTGCTAGGCAAGCCCTGCGTCACTGAGCCACAGCACAGCCCTGTGATTTTAAGCTAATCTGCGGCAGAGCAAAGCACAAACATTTCTCAAGTGTTTTATAAAACCCCAATAAGACAACACACACACACAGGTGCCAACCAGTCTCAATGAAGAGCAGAATACAGGATGACCCTGGGTACCAATTGTGTACTTAACTGTAGCCTGGCCTGTGGAGAAAGGAAGAATCACTAATTGTTTACACCATGGAGCAGCAAATACAGAGCAAGGGCTCATCTGCCTACTTTTGTAAATAAAGTTTTATTGGAAGGCAGCCCACTTTGTTCCAGAATGGTCTACAGAGAGGCTGCCTGGTCCCCCACCCCACATCTGAGACACCTGCTGCCTGGTCTTTGCAGACATTTAGCTGAACCCTGGTTTGCATTACTGCTACAAATCTAAACATTTCCATATAAAAAAAAGAAACCATCCAAGAGCCAGCAGATAGGTGCAAATACTTGAGTCATTAAATGCCCCCAAAGTTGGACCCTAAGAACAGTGCTGGCAAAGCCACCTAAAATCAAAGCACCAGCCCTAAAAAAAATTAGTCTCAAATGCCTGATGGGGAGGAAAACAGCCATCTGGTAGAAATGGATATTAGCGTAAATATGGGAAGTGTACTTAGCAATGAACAAAAACCCATATGCTAGGGGGGCTGGGGAAGGAGCTCAGTTGGTGCCTGCCCAGTGTGCATAAAGCCCTGGGTTCCATCCCTAGCACTGCATAAACCAGGCCTGATGGCAAGAAGATCAGGTCAAGGTCATCCTCAATAGCTCACTAGTTCAAGATCACCCTGGGCTCCATGAGACCTTGTCAAGAAGGAAAGAAAGCTGGTACATGTCTATAATCCCAGTACCAGGAGGCAGAGGTAGGTGGGTCTCTGAGTTTTAGGCCAGCCAGAACTATATAGTAAGACTGTGTCTCAAAAACAGGGAGGTGCTGCAAAGACGGTTCAGTGGTTAAGAGCACAGGCTGTTCTTGCAGAAAACCCAGGTTTGAGTCTCAGCACCCACATGGCAGTTCACAACCATCTGTTTTGTTTTGGGTTTTTTATGGGTTTTTTTTTTTTTTTTTGGTCTTTTTTCTTTTTGAGACAGGGTCTCCCTGTAGCCCAGGCTGGCCTGGAACTCACTATATAGACCAGGCTGGCCTGGAACTCACAGAGATCCTCCTGCCTCTGCCTCCCAAGTGCTGGGATTAAAGGCATGCGCCACCACGCCTGGAAGTTAACAACCATCTGAAATTCTAGTTCCAGGGAATCTGACGCCCTCATTTGGCCTCCGTAGGTACTGCACACACATGATACACATACATACATGTAAGCAAAACATTCATAGAAATCAAAAAACTTTTAATTAAAAAAAGAAAGGAGGCTGTTGAGGTGACTCGGTGGTTAAGAACACTTGTTGCTCTTGCAGAGGACCCAGTTCAGTTCCCAGAACCCAGACAGACGCTTACAAATGTCTGTAATTCCAGTGGGGATCTGACATTCTCTCTTCGCCTCTGTGGACACTGCACTCACGTGGTGCAGATACATATGCAGGCAAAACACCAATACACATAGAATAAAACAAAATCTTTGAGAAAGGCAAGCCTGACCCTAAACAAAGGAAGGGCAAAGACAGTAGATGGTAAAGTCACGTGAAGAGTACCTGGAAAATGCCCACCACAGACATTACAAATCATCTAAAGAAAAGCAGATCAAAGCCTGGCATGCACACTACCACAGATCAGCTCAGGTAAGACCCCAGCCACGGCAAAACCCACAGTCTACTTCCATCCTGTCTTAGAAGGGGAAGACCCTGTAAACAAGACCAAAAGCACCATCACCCAAAAGACGCATCCCAACCCCAGAAATGCACTGAAAAGCAGCACCTGTTTCTGTACCGGGAGAGAGGTCAGCACTCAAGCCAACAGCAGATGCTACTGTGCAGGTGAGCAAGTATTCAGCCAGTGGCTGTGTACACAGCCAGTACACCAGTCATCTGTCCTATTTAAGAGAGCAACTTGGCAACCTGGGGCCAAAAGGCTGTAAATATGCATGGCTGATGATCCAGGGCCATCTGACTTCTAGGAGAACTACCCTGTGGAAACATGACTTCACAAAAGGTCCTTGCTGCCTGGATGTTTATCATAGCATCATTTGGAAGGGAGGGGAGAAAGGAGGGAGGATGGGAGGGAAAGACCTAGTTTCCGACAATTGGAGGTTGGTTAAATCGATGTTCCATCTGCCCCTATGACATGAGTTGTGAAAGGCCATGTTTATGAGACTGTGGTGGAAGGAAAACACAGTCCCTAAACAGTGTACAAGGTACACATCGGTGTTTATAAGAAGCATACACAGACATGGAGAGTTGTTAGAGCCCGTGCAGAAGGCTATTTGCTTTTCATTTTTGCTGGAGTGCTGGTTACGGAACCCAGGGTTTTGTGTATTCTAGGCAAGCGTTCTATCTCTGAGCTACACCCATAGCCCCAACAGGGTTGATCCCATGTGGCAAGCTTCCAAGTAACACTTTTCTCTAACTTGCAGCTTACCTATGTTTTGAAGGCTTTCCAATGTGGCTATGCATTATTTTTTTTTTTAATTGGACTAAAAATGACTATGACAAAAACACTCTTTGAGCACAGCCTCTTCCTGCCCCAGTTAGGTGAGCTTAGGGACACTTACTCACGATCTGTCCGGCAGGCAGAGTCTGTTCCCCGGTGTTATTGTATGAGAATGAGAGCATAGCTAAGGGAAGAAACACCACACATGATCAGCTAGGTCTGCTTGGCAAGCCCCTGGTCTCTGGGTCCTCCCCCCACCCCTCTTGGGCCCCGGGATTCCGCAAACAGTGACCCTGAGCCTTCCCACCCCAGGACCCCATCTGGTCCTCACGGTAGCAGTGTGGGAAACCAGTGAAGCCCTTGGCACAGGCATCACACCGCTCTCCTGTGAAGTTCGGCCGACAGTAGCAGCGGCCTGTTAGGTCTTCACATGTCCCGTCGGTGAAGTCTGACTCACAGTTGCAGCCTGAAGAGCAGTCAGGGGTAAGAAAGTCATCAAATGGTGGGGAGAGCTATGGTCTGGTCTCCCAGGGTGTGGGGGTCAGGATATAGGAGCTGAGGTACTAGGACTTCTCAACACCATTTCTTGGCCAGACCCTGAAACTCCACAGCTCAGGGATACAGCCTTACTCACGGCGACAGACATGGGGTGAGTCCAGTGGTTCGTTGGGGGCACGGTAGAAGCCAGGCACACAACGTTCACAGTTGATGCCCGTGGTGTGGTGCTGGGGATACAGGGAATACAAAAGCCTGTTAAGTCCAGGCATGTCCACCCCCATTGTCAGTTCCCACCCACACCTGGCCCTTGCCTGGCTCACCTGGCAGTCAAGGCAGACACCCCCACCCTGATACACATCGTCTTGGTTCTGGCTGGCATTGCGTCGGTCCACCTCTGGGTCATAGTAACAGTCGTGAGCATGGCCGTGGCAGTTGCAGGCTACAGAGACAGGGCCAGCAGTTAGCATGCCCTCCATGACCCTAGGGTCCCTGGAAACACATCCCATGGGACATGGGTGCTGACAATTCACGGGCATGCAACACACTCACACTGGCACTCATTGGCGCTGTCAGTGGTGGCAGGTCTCCATGGCTGCTGGTTGAAGCCAGGGCAGCATCGGTCACAGGAGCCTCCACATGTATTGTGCTGGCAGGCACACTGTAGCCTGTGAAGGGGCAGAGGAGCTAGGACCCACACCAGAGCGGAGGGCTTAGACACACATGGGTGGTACATCTTTGGGCCCGCTGGCCTGCTGTGCGGACAGTCTCCCCTGCCCTCAGTTCCCTTGACTTTCATGCGGTGATCTCTGGCTCAGACTCTGTGCCGCCATCCCAGTGGCTCAGCACACTGCTATGGCCTCGGAGAACGAGCCCAAGGGGCAGAAGGCAAAGGGGGACCGGCTCCTTGTGGAAGCAGAGTGGGTGGGGTCTCTGTGATAGCTGTGGTACAGGGCCTCTGTGGAAGGTGGAGAATGGGGGAGGGGTGTGTGTTGGTTGGAAGAACGGGGCCTTGGAGTTCGGCCCACATGGCCTGGAGCCTTGGCCTTTCCAACATGGCCTAGGCCCAAACCCAGGTCCTCCCAGAGTTCCAAGGGAGACACACATTTGTTCCCCATGGAGACCTGGGTCTCACTTAGCCTGTGAGAATCTTGTTCTGTCAGACACCCCCATAATGTCTAGGGCATCTCCCCAGGGGCAAGTGGCCAAGAACCACTTCCTCTTCCAGCTGAGGGTGGACACCAGGTCAGAAGGCTGGAGTGCTGCCTGATGTCCCAGTGGGCAGGAGGACAGCTGCTTGGAGATGAGGGTGAGGCTGGAGTTGCCTGCCACTCAGAACTAACACCTCAGGCTTTTGGCCAGGGTATGGGAGGGTCATAATCAAATCTGGGCTCTTGGCTACTGTGCATTTCCTGAGTAAGATGCAGATCAGAGGCCCAGAACCTCAAACCACCAAGCTCTACACCCATCAATTCCCATGGGGGCCTACAAGGCCTTGGGAATCAGTCCCGGTCCTCCCCTAACCCAAAAGCATCTGGAGAAACCTCAGCATTGCAGAAGAGGACTAGGGAATGAACTGCCTGTCCGTGAAGCTGTGAGAAGGGAGAGCCCGACGTCCACAGTGGGTCTTACTTTTGAGTGATCTACATGGTTAAATTACCCGAGCTAATAAGGGAAGTCAGTAGTAAATGGTTCCAGGGTGGCTACACCCTGGGGTTGCTGGTGAAAGCTGCAAATCCACCCTGGTGCCTTCACCTGAGTCACAGATAAAACCTTGCAAAGGGGAGTCTGGCATGGTGGCGCACGCCTTTAATCCCAGCACTCAGGAGGCAGAGGCAGGCGGATCTCTGTGAGTTCAAGGCCAGCCTGGTCTACATAGTGAGTTCCAGGTCAGCTGGGGCTACAGGGAGACCCTGTCTCAAAAAGACAAAAAACAAACAAAAACCTTGCAAAGGAACTGCAAAGGGCCCAGCAGATGTCACACAGAGCAGGTTTGGGCCCAAGATCTCCATTTAAATGGAACAATCTGGTAGACAGTGTGAAAGACTATGAACAAAAGAATCTAAAAATAAACAGATGTGAAAAATGACCAGTTAGAAATTCTAGAAATGAAAAAAATGTAATTATGGAATTAAAGACCCAATGAACCGGCTGAACAGCAGATCAAACAGAGCCAAGGAGAGATTTTCTGAGGCAGAGGCGGAGCTGAGGGAGCTACTGGGAAGACGGTTAAGACAAACAGGAAAACAAGGTGTTCTCAGTGAGGAAATGTGCTGTGTCCATGTTCTTCACCTGGTGGGAGGACAGAGCCATGGCCACTGACTAGCGATTATGATTACTGGCTACGTACATTCTCAGATCTCAGAGCCAAAGAGCAGAGTCTCAGGAAACATCCCCCACACTGCCCTCAACACTTTCAACTAGACCTGCAAGGCATCAGGGTGACAACCCCAATATCAACAGCCTGAGGGACTGAGGACTCAGCAGAGCACTGGGATGCTAAGGTAGGTAAAGACTTCCTCCAAAGGGCTAGAGATGCAGTCATCAACCAAGAATCCCAGCCAGCTGCACTGTCGGTCACGAATGAAGGCAAACAGTCATCTTCTGACAACTGACAGATGGTTACCAAATAAATCATCCAAGAGTGCATTTCAGGAAGTAGCAAACAGTCCCAGGACAGCCAAGAGGCAAAGGGCCAGTAAAACAAAGAATGGGAACAGAGGGTGACTGAGGCATGTGAGAGAGCGCTATGGCCCCAGCAGGAGTAACGTGAGCTAGGGACCCAGCTTACCAGGTCTGGATTTGGCTAAGTCAGGCAAGTCTGTGACAAAGTATAGGCTGCCAAGCTTTATAATCCCAGCTACTCAGGAGGCTGAGGCAGGAGGATTGAAAGCTTAAGGCATGCCTAGACTACACAGTGAGTGCAAGGCCAGCCTGTGCAAAATAAAAATTTTAAAAAAGTGCTGGGTATGTGGCTCAGTGGTACAGCATGTTCTTAGCATGCATAAAGCTTGGGTTCCAACCTCCCTACTGGGAAGAGAGAGGGAGAGGGAGAGGCCATGGTACTGGCAAGTGGGAGGCAGGGCCAACAGTGGGCAACTGAATGAAGGAGAGTTGGGCAAAGGGACAGAAAAGAGCCGGCTGGAGGGACTGGAATCCTCCTTCCCTGGAGGAGGGGCAGGAGTGACGGATGGGTACGGGGACAATGCCTGGGCTGGTTTGGGGACACTGGTGAGTGGTTTTGTTGACGTCTGTGGCTCTGGGGAAAATGCCAGTTTATACCATCCCTCATGCCCTACAGGATGGGCTGAGCCCACTTTGGGCCCAAGCCTGTGAATCAGGAGCAATGGTGGCACCTGACCCAGCAGGTAAGGACAGGCCCAGCTCCTGGGGCCCCATTTCTTCCAAGGCCAGTTTAGTTTTCTGACAGGCTCCATCCACTCCCAGCCCATATGAGCTGTACTCCCAGTTGGTACGCAATTTCCCAGGGTAATTAGCACAGCCTGGAGCTGCACTGGCAGGAACCCATTCCCACATGGTCAAGGCTCAGGGAAGCAGCCTGCCTGAGTCCTCCAGCTAGAGAGACCATATAACACTCCTCCTTCAGACCCATCAGCCACCTCTGTGGGAGACAGCTCTGGAGCGGGGGTGAGTTCCCATCCCAGCACCTTGGCTTTATCAGCTTCCCCACAAATTAGAGGTCTGGTAGGGACGCAAGACCTCAGCAAAGGTATACGTCTGAACTCAAGGCACAGGAACCAAGGACTCTGAGGCAATGGAAGTGGCAGGGTGAGCTGCCAGCATCCTGTAGGAGCAGCCTGTATTGGGTGAGGGCATGGGAGACTCATCATGGGCCCCCAGTACCCGCTCTGCCATGCAGCCCTATCCAGTCCAGTCCCTGCTGTGTTCTGACATGTGGCTGGTGGTGGGCGGGGGGTGTAATGGGTGCTGGCTGCCTCTCCAGAACAGGTGTGTTCGTGCCAAGAACAGAGCCTGGCTTGTTAGAAGCTTAACACACAGCTGTTGCAGAGATAGAGCGAGGGAGACAGAGGAGGGAGAAAGAGAAAGAGGTTGAAAGGGAGGGAGGGAGAGAGGGACTGATGGAGGGAGGGAAGGGGAGAAGTAGGGAGGGAGAGAGGGAGGGAGGGAGGGAGGAAAAGGGGGTGAAGAAAGGAGGAAAGGAGACAGGCCATGTCTCGGAGCTGAAGGGCAGAATAAAAACCATGGTGAACCCTACCCAGGGCCAGGCTCAGTCACCCACTTAAGTAAGGGCTCACTGGGGTTCAGGACACTGGGGAATCTGGTTTCAGATACAAATTATCTGACGGTATGTGGTGATAGGTATGGATCCTGGGGCCCTGCCTAATCAGCTGGCTCTGAGTGGGTCACAGGAAGCTACATGTGCCAGGACCCTGGCCAAGCAAAGCACTATGGGCTCCCAAAAGTTCAGAGCCCTTGGCTAGCCCTGGCTACATGAGCACTGGGCACATTAGAGGGGGAACACTGGCTGCTCCCATCCTTGACCTTGGCCTTTGCCTTTGCCTTCAGAGTGTTAGAGGTCAGGGGTGGGGGGCAGCAAAGTGTCTTTGTTCCCTGGGGAAACGCCAAGGGAGCTTAGGTAGGCTTAGGGGCAAGTGGTAGGTATCTACCATCTGGGGGCACAGGTGTGCCGTCAGGGGTCACCTCTGTCACTGATGCCCCTCCATAGGCCCTGGGTCCAAGAAAGCCTCACTTCTGTGAGGTTCAGGGTGAGCTGCCAAACAAGGACATGGCAACTAGAGAGGCTCCCAGGGCTTGGCCTCTTCAGATGGGCAGCGGTCAGCACAGGTCCACTGGGAAGTGAAGTCGGCAATGGAACCAGGCAGGGAAGATGAGGACAGACAGGGAGCCACAGGTCTCACCTGAAAGGGTCCGCGGGGTCTTTGGCGTCACAGACATCTGCGTGTCCATGACAGACGCAGCGGCCACCGATGCTGATGTCCTTGATACTGTAATAGTACTACAGTCGAAACCATAAGTGACAGGCACCTGTTGACCTCACCCAGACCCCCCCACTCCCCAGAGCCTCTAGAGGAAACCAGCTCCACCAGCCCAATGCCACAACCAAGTCCTGAGCCACGCTTCATGCTCACCCGGCGGGTGACGGTGGGGTCCCGCAGTGCCTTGCCCATGAGGTGGCCCAGCAGTGTGTTGGTGCGCAGGAACCGCAGGCGGATGTTGGTAGCTTTGGTGAAGTCTCGAAGGAGGGGTGAGTAGGAGAAGTTCATGGCCCCAGGGCGCCCGTTCACCAGAGACACCACAATCTGCAGATGACGTGGCAGGTGAGGCTGATTATGACCACTCGGGGACACCCCCCACATCTGACCACCTGGGTCAAGGCTGCGTGCCCCACCTCGCCATTCTCCAGGGGAACTATCCGAGAGTACTCAGTGGTGCAAACAACATCGTCGTCCTGCGTGATACGCTCCAGTGTCCGAGGCCCAAATCGCTCCAAACAATCCCTCTTGGATGCTGCAGGAAGTGGACTGGAATGTGAGGGCAGGTGCCACCAGAAACATGCTCCCTCCCTGGGTCCCAACACAATCCTTGTAACTGGATTGCTGGCTCCAGTTATTGCTCAGCCGCCCAGCAGGGGTTACTGGAGAGAGCCAAACCCTGGCTAATAGGGGAGTCCTTGCCCCAGGCAGCCGGGCCAGACTACAGAGTCTGCATTAGCCCTCCCTGGTGCCCGGCTCTCTCCTTAGGTCAGGCTAAAGAACAAGTGCCCCCAACCCTTTCCTGAGCCCTCTCCAACTCTCAGTCAGAGAGTTTTGTGGGGCATAGGACTAGGCCTAATTGAAGCATCTGCACCCTGACAACATGACTGGTCAGGACGCATATGGCCAGGGTCAGCCAATGACTCCAGCTCTCTCCTGCCACAGGCAACAAGCTGGCAGGATGTAACCCCACAGCTCCCAGGACCGCTCTGTCACCATGGGAGCTGCCTGAGCTGAAGCCAGTCCAGAGGAGCCAGGAGATGGCCCAAAGATTCCTGGCAATATGCCAGTGTGACACCAGCCATGCCCAATATCAGGCATGAAAGTCAACAAGTTCCCATCGAACCCTGGTGGCTCTCACAGTGCTGAACCCACAAAGAGGCTAGTGTAAGTGTGGGGCTTGGCATCTGGGGCCTTGAGAAAGAGTAGCAAAGGGAGCCCAGGTTGCAGGGACTCCCTAGTACACTCACAAGCAAAGAACTGCCATGGCTGGTAGGTGTGGCCAAAGTCCGTGGATCTCTCTAGCACCCAGAGGTCAGGCCTAGGCGAGTTGGCAAACTTGATGAGCACATAGGCCACGTGGAACACCTGCAGGGGGACCATGAGGGTGATGTCAGGCACCGGGGCCCCTCAATGTGTCTTCCAGCTCTCTCAGGTGTGAGGCCACAGCAGGTGACGCAGAAGCCCCAAGCCTCATGCCTGTGAGGAGCGTTCTGGTTGGAGTCTGAAATGGCTCCCACAGGCTCATGATTTGAGCTCTTGGTCCCTAGCTGGTGGTCCATTGTGGGATGCTGTAGAACCTTTAGGGGTGGGGTATAGCTGGAGGGGGTGGGTCACTAGGAGCAGGCTTCAAAGGTCCTGGATCCTCTATGACCCTCGGCTTACAGGTCTGCTGTGACCTGACCAGCCTCTACCAACATGCTTCTGCCACCACCAGCTGAGCTCTTCCGCCACACGTTCCTTGCCATGATAGACTGAAATCAGGAGTCAGTAAACCTTTGCTCCTTCTGGTCAGTCAAGTATTACCAATACAGAAAATTGATACGAGAGCAGTTGCAGCCACTGTAGCTGCTAAACCTAAATGTGGTTTTTAGGCCTTTGGAACTGGTTTGAAAGAGGAATGTGGAAATTTGGGAAATGTGGGTTATAGAAGTCCTAGGATCTGGGCCATTCTGAGGGCAATGTGAAAGACCAGAATCCCAGTAGAATGTGGATGGGGGTTAGCAAGGTGGCTCAGTGGGCAAAGTGCTGGCCACCCAGGGACGCAAGCCTGACAACCTGAGTTTGATTCCCAAACCCATGTAAAGGTGGAAGGGGAGAACGGATACCACAAAGTTGCCTGACTTCCCCTCATGCACTGTGGTACACATGCCTACACACACACACACACACACACAAATAACAGTAATACTAACAACAGTATACTGGGCATGGGGGGCACAGGTCTTTAATCCCAGCACTCAGGAAGCAGAGGCAGATCTCTGTGAGTTCAAGGCCAGCCTGATCTACAGAGTTCTAGGCCAGCTGGGGCTACAGGGAGTCTCTGTCTCAAAGAGACGCCCCCGCCCCCCCCCACCCCCAC